TATATATATATAATAATTTTTAATAAATTAATGCATTTATAATTTTTATAATTAAGCTTATATATTTATTTGTAAATGTATTATTATAAAATTCACTTTATTCTTATTTTCTTATGTTGTGAATAGGGTGTTCCGGGTCCTAAAGGTGAGCCGGGAGAGACACCATCAGAGGTAAGGCTGGTGCCCAAAAAATTGGGATTGTTTTGGAGTTTTTGATTGACATGCTAAAGCCCACCTTCTTGCAGGTGCAGCAGTTGAGGGAAGCGCTGAAGATTCTGGCCGAGAGGGTTCTCATTCTAGAACACATGATCGGCATTCATGGTGAGAATTATGGATTAATATTAATCTAGATTTTCAGTTATACTGGAGAGCGGTTGGTAGCGTGTGTTGCAATTATTTAGTAATGACTTTGAGGTTTCATGGGGATTGATTGCTTTTAAGAATGCAAAATGACATCAGAGGACTAGAAATATACAGCCAACTGCTTGTATTTAGACACATGGTTCTGCAACAAATTTCCCTTTATTTTTGTCGTCGCTCTGCCCAGACACTCTGTTGGACTCCGGTTCTGGAATAGATCTCCTGGCGGACTTCATGCTAACAGGCAGTGCTAAAAATGTTGGCGCCGACAAACCCTCTTCTCCTCTTACCTCAGACAGAGAGTAGCCGGACTCTGTTGGGTATGGAGAGTAAATAACAAACACTTGTGACCACAAGGCCTTTATCTCCTGTCTGTTACATTGAAGGACAGATCCCTCAATGTATTTGTTTATGAGTATGATAAGAGTGGCACTGATCTTTTCTATTTTATTTACTTGTATTTTATGTTCAGTTTTTTCTACATTTTGCAATCACTGTATTTACCTGTCAAAAATATGTTTTTATTGCCATTCACAACCCGTTTTACTTCCACAATGTGACGTATTTCAAGGGCTGGCCTTTATTTTAGCCATTAGGAAATGATTGGATGGTGAAAAGTGGGTGTTACTTACCAGAACGAAATCGGACTGAATGTGAGTTTGCTAAAGTTATGAAAATCTGGCTTTCAACTTGGAAGTGTCTATTTACTGTAGTTCATTTCTTTTATTATTGTAAAAGTGAGGATTTTGAATGGGCAGGATGTCTGGGTTAATTAATCAACAAAGATGATACTTGATTATACAAAAAAGCATTCTTGACACTATTCACTTCTTAATGGTTTTTATGTGGCATGAATAATGATTTAATACCGCAGACATTCAAGCTGAAGATAAATGTTTTATCATAAAGACTTCGATCCAGAACACAAAAAAGGCCCAATTTTTCTTGTCATTTCCTTTTTGTTTTCTGATTGATGACCTATAATGACCTTATGCACATAATTATATATAGCAGCCTTTGTATAAATACAATTCCCGTCTCAAAACTCACAGCAAGCAAAAAATAGACTGGAATAGAACTTTAAAACCAAATTCAACCCTTTGTCTGCATAGAAAGTGCAACGTCTACCAAAATAAATTGCGTTTACACCTCTGCTCACCTGTTTGTATTCATGAAGCCTATCATTGACTCGCTGAAACCCCAAAATGGCAGAACGCACCAAGGGCTGCTATTAATAGGGCTGCAGAGAATAGCCGGAGAGACACAAAAGGCCCTGTTGACCTTGTTCCCAGAGCACCGTTCAACACGCCAGTGTGGCTTTAAGCTTATTGTTGCGCTTGAGCTTTTGTAATCCCCTCGGGAGGGAACGAAATCTTTCCAAATCTTGGGCTTTTTCTTGTTGTTGTGTTAAGAAAGAAGAAGTGTCTGAAGTGTTTGTTGAAAGGTTTCCCACCTTTCCAGAGCCAAAACCTGATTGCTAGTATTTTGCTTTGACCTTTTTAAATAAAAGTTATTTATTTAAAAATCTATTATTATCTGAGCAAGTTAAAACAGTTTATTGCAATAACAACTGTAACTAGACTTAATTTTATTTATCTCTTTATTGACAAAAGGCGGGAACAGAGCTTAAGGAGAAGACAACACAAATGGACATGAACAAACATGGAGAAACATGGGAAATGTAGTTTTTACTCCTGTTCTTTATCCTCTCCGTGGGTGATGACGTAGCACAGGTTTTTGTAGTCCAGGTTGCCAGCCACATCCAACGGGAAATTTGTGAACATCTGGTTTACCTAGGTAAATTTTGAAAAATCATGATTAAAATCCATTGAACAATTGTTATATATTTTGATATCAAATAGTACAGTTTAATGATATTAAATTATTTATTTTAAAATTAAATATTAGATTTAAATTTTGAACTGGCACTGTAGTACCTCAGCCTCGGTAAATTTGTCTGCCTGGGACATAAGGTGATATTTAATCCTGTGAGGAGAAACAAAAGAAATATATTAAATGCTGTGCATTTCAATGAGACTGCTTCCAGTCAAAAGTCGCTGATGTGCTGAAGCATTTTTACATTTGCATAAATCTACTTACTCTTCTCCTTTAAGGATTCCTGTGCCCTCTGGGTCGAAGATCTTAAAGGCATTGAGAATAGTCTCTTCGGGGTCTGTACCTGTCAGTCACAGAAAGGTAACAGATTATTGATTAGTCTGTAATTATATACTCGAATGTTAATTAACAAATATATGTCATTTCTGGGGGACGTTGCATTCAAAATCCAAGCTTCTGATGCTGAACTATATGATCCATATATCAGTATGCAGTGTGCCAGATATCTGCTGAGTTCTGCAGCTGTTTGCACCTCATTAGCATGATTATCATTTCAATTCTGATAAATCTGATCCTTGCCTTTGAGCTTCTCTCCAAACATGGTGAGGAAGACGGTGAAGTTAATAGGGCCGGAGGCTTCCTTTTGCATTTCATCAAGCTCATCGTTGCCAACGTTGAGACGTCCTGCCAAACATGCACATACAGAGATATACATTAATACAGAGCGCCACTTCCTCTGATAGTTCAAATGGAGTGAGAGTGAACTGGAATGCTCGTAGATGCATTAAATAGTTATGATACCAGATTACGAGGCCACACTGAAAGTCAGTTTTTATATTATATATAAAACCTTTTATATTTAAACCTGAAAATAAAAGGGAGGTTTTAGGATTTTGAAAATAAAAATAAAATAAATAAATAAATACAATTTTAAACTTTTTCTAAAATTGTTATGTTTATATATTTAAAAAAAATAAAATAAAAAAGCAAAATAAAGCATTTTTACTAGTGGTCTCAGATTTTTGGACCCTGCTATATATGCATTTATCAAAACTTTAATAGCATGATGACATTTGCATCTAAATCTGTGACAAACATAGTGTTGTAATCGCATTTAGGCTTCACAGCATTCAGTAGGGGTCTAAAGGGAGGCCACTGTAATCCTTAAAACAATTCTCTTGTTAGTTCAATAGGATAAACGCCTTTAAGTAACGGAGACCTGGCTTCAGAGTCTCCAGTATTTACACTGTATATAGTCATTCAGTAAGGGCTTCACTCACCCAAAGCAGCAAATGTGTCCCTCAGGTCGTTTTTGTCAATAAAGCCATCTCTGTTCTGGTCCATGATGGTGAAAGCCTGGAGGAGCATTCAGATTTGCAGAGGTAAGTACCTAAATATATGCTAGAATAAAATGTTTAGGTATAAGTGAATCCTAGAAATGACCAACCTCTTTGAACTCCTGGATCTGTGACTGCTCAAACATGCTAAAAACGTTGGAGCTGCCAGCTTCCTTCTTCTTGGCCTTCTTTGGTGCCTGGAAATCAAGCAAAAGTGGTTTAGATGATTTTCTATCCAGCCTTATGCTTTTTAAATGCAATTTTGAAGCACATAAAACTTTTAAATTAATGCAGAAATTACACGGCCCTCTAAGACGTTTGTGCCATTTTAACCACTCTATGGCATAAAATGGAAGTTGAGAACTCTCAAAAAGTGGCCCGATTCAAGTACATCACAAATTTAGTTGCATTTAGTTAACACAAAATGGAACAGACAATGATATTCACTCAGTGAAAACCTTACTAAAATTAAAACAAAGTTGCTCTCATCACCAAGATCAAGGTACATGGAAGCAAAACTAATAAAAATTGTCTAATTTTAAAGATACAAATATATAAATCCATCCATAGAAGATGTACTTTTTAACATAAAATAACACATTCTCTCAGTCTGAAGAACAACACCGTTCACTTGCACCAGCATTTCCATGTTAAAGAGTCCAAAAGCAAAGAAACGCAACCCTACCATTGTGAAGAGCTTCTCTTTACTCTGTTCTTGGTCTCAAAAGCCTGAGGGACACTCAGACATCGTTGGTTTCCAGCTATATATTGGCACAATTGGCTTGACGGCCCACCTGTTCTATGTTTAGACAAAGGAGGAGGAACAATACAAGAATACTTGCCATATAGAGAATCACCCAGCCCTTGCACCCACCAGTTATTGGTACAGACAGATGCTAGGTGATGTGATCAGAGTTTGTGGGCTTTGCTATCTTGGGATCATTTGGAGCGTCCTAACCCCTTAAGACTCCCTTAAGTATGGGATACAAAATGAAATTGCAATTTTTAATAGGTTTCATATATGTAATTTATAATTTTTTTGTGTTTCATTTTGGACAGTTTGCATGGGTGAGACTGGGGGTAGTTGTCACACTCCGATTAATATTTCTTAGTTGTATTAAAAAAAAAAAATTGCTACATCAAAATTATTTTAATTATTCAACCATTATTGCCCAGGAATAAAGAGACAGTCCATTAAACACATGCTGACCTTTCGTGACAACATGCCCCAGTGGTGGAGTAATATATTGTCACACTATATATAGTAAGCTGTCACAATGAGAAACTGCTGTTACATGGCTAACTGATTATTGCATCATTACAATGACATATTTTCATTTAATATATAATTGCAATGAAAATATGTGTATGCAAGCAACACCAAAACATATGTGAGGCTGGACTTCGCTCTCAAAACTTTTATTTATGAAGAAGGTTGTGAATTCTAATTGATTGATCTGTATGTACAGGGCAAAATGATTGCACATTATTGGAACATACACATATGGAACTTGTCCATTTGAATGCCATCTTCTTGACATGTGAGCGCAGTCAAGCCCTTGGCTTTAATTTGCCATGCAACTCTTATGAACAAATTGTTTCTACTTTGTCTCCCATTATCTGTTGTGAACAATCGGACTGAACAAAAGCCATTCTCAGCACTACAAATATAGCCAGTCATCCCATGCTTGCCAGATTTAAATGTGCTCTTACAAACAGCCAAGTAATGTGCCGTCAGACTGCCGTAAATAATCTGTCTAGCTATCCGGCACGGCAGCAGGCTGTGTAAAGCTTGTTTTAGCAGTGTCCTCACAGACAACTGAACGAACACTGACCAAAAGAGCTGTGGAGAAGAATTGCACCATGGGATGTTTGGAATGTCGCTGTGATCTCCTGCTTGGCATTGTGCATGTGTGTGTGTGGTCACGACAGGGAGCGTGCCCATGTTAGGTGTGTGACTGGCAGGTGGGGGGCGAGAAGGAGTCAAGGTCTGCTTGTGTGTGCTAGCAATAACACAACTGATGGGGAGCCTGGCGGGGAAGTGTCAGCTGCTTCTTACTGTCAATCACATTAGCCATATGGTTCCATCACACCTTGACAGGCATGTAAATGCATGCTGCTTTATATGACAACACAGAGATGATGATACACTGCCATCGATCTCTTTATTTTTTAATCATATTTGATGTTCCTCTCACTGTTCTTTATGGTAAAGTGAGGTAATTGGGCCACATTTTGATCTCTCTGGTAAAATGTCTATGGACATATATGTGTGAATTTCTAAATGGTTTGTGTGTGCGTGTGTGTGTGTGTGTGTCAGGCCTGTTCTTTTACTAAAAATAAACAAATACGAAGGATCAAGTACTCAAGACTGTTTAAAATGACAATATTACAATAAATTTAGTGTTAATTTGCATGTATGTGTTTGAGTGTGTTTTAGTATTATTGTAGTATCACTGATACTATCAGTTTTTGTTAATATTTAGAATTTTATGTAGATTTAGATTTTAATTGTATATTTTTCACTTATTTTCAACTTTCAATTTCTAGATTTCATTTTCAACTTTTGTTAAAGTTTATTGTGTGTTTTTGTGATTTTTATCATTTTTAATGTCTATATTTGTGATTTTTTAATAATTTTTTTATGTCTATAAAGTTTATTAAGTTTTAGCTTTCAGTTTTAATCAATTTAGTTTGAATTATTTTAGTACTTTAACTTAAACTAAACAACAACTAGCTGAAATATGTAATACGTAATTAAATACATAATTATATATATTTGTTATATTTTTTTTTATAACGGTGCAGTTTTATTTATCCGTTTATTTTTACTTATTTTTTTGCAGCAAATTTGTATATATTGTTAAGTAATAATATAGATAATATGAAATCAAAAATATACATAATATATGTGTATAGTTTATATTTTGTTTGAAGTATCTGTCTTAAAAATATGATAACAGTATTCAGTTGTAGTTTGTTTGCCTGCAGATGGAGCAGTTTACCCAGTTGTACAAGTTTTTATAATCCTCCACTACAAAATATATTACCTGTACAACTATAGTTCGAACTTCATAGACTTACATATTACACAATGCGCAAGCAATTTACATTTCAAATGTTGTATTTATGGTAAAGATGTATTGTTTATGACTAAATATCAGACACCTGTCCACTGCTCAGGTGTGCATGTGGAAACAGTCATGCACACACATCACCAGAACAATGCCCTCCTCACATCTCTGCTTGTCTCTTCATTATGTTCATTTGCCATGTCTTTGCATCTCCATAATTAAAATCTAATCCTGCATGCCGACTTTTTAAACGAGGACTAGCCTCAAGAGGAGGCTTATTTGATTAAAAAAGGGGAAGGGTAGAGGAGGGTATAATCCTCCACTACAAAATATATTACCTATAGTAACTATAGTTCGAACTTCATAGACTTACATATTACACAATGCGCAAGCAATTTACATTTCAAATGTTGTATTTATGGTAAAGATTTATTGTTTATGACTAAATATCAGACACCTGTCCACTGCTCAGGTGTGCATGTGGAAACAGTCATGCACACACATCACCAGAACAATGCCCTCCTCACATCTCTGCTTGTCTCTTCATTATGTTCATTTGCCATGTCTTTGCATCTCCATAATTAAAATCTAATCCTGCATGCCGACTTTTTAAACGAGGACTAGCCTCAAGAGGAGGCTTATTTGATTAAAAAAGGGGAAGGGTAGAGGAGGGAGTCCTCCACAGCTCGGCAGGCAGGAGAGACAGCTCTTAATTGTGCTCCCATGAGGTGTGCGCACGCCTGGGTGGAGAGAGGGGGGGCTGGGTGCGCAGAGGCTCCAATGGGCCTGAAAAAACAAACCGCCAGTGGGACCGGCTCTGCTGCGAAGCTCCCCTGGTGTCTCAGTGAGGGGAACCGAGGGGAGGAGCACTTATGAGGAGCCATGAGACTCTCCCAGCTTCCAATTCTCACTCCACCCTGCAGGGTCTGAACTGAACCCCCCATCCTCTGTCTTTAAGTGTCTGTGTGTGGTGGTGAGGGTGAGAATCAGGGCTGATCTACAGATGAACCAAACTCATGGAACTGGTGACTCAGGAATCTGGTGGTATAAATTATGGTTAAAATGATCATTGTTGACTTTCTTACATACATTCTGGTGTACTTATACATACTCTTTTTTTTGCATGGTACCACATAATGGTTTTAGATTAAAAAAAATAATAATAAAAAAATGTATTCTCTCTTTTTCTAATAAGATTAGATATATGGTTTTCTATTATTGTATTTAACTGTATTGTTTTTCTTTTCTTTTGTATTTTTGTACTATATTGTATAGTACAGCACTTTGGTACATTCTGCGGTTTTCTTATTTAACACAATTCTTATTGTGTTAAATGTTGTTTTACTGTTTAAGCACATGTTAGATGCTAACTGTATATTATTTGTTGTGGACTTTACACGATGACAATAAAGTTGAATTACAATCAAAGTGGTCAAAGTGACAACCTGTATTGAAATTGAGTTGAAAGCTTATAAAAGCAAGTAGAAATGACCAATATTATTATTGTGACAAGTAAATGGATGGGAAAATTGATGGTTTCTATACATTGTTTCCACCATTTTTGACAGTGTATTAAGCGTATTACCTTTAAACGGTAAAAGAGCAAAAGAATCACTACAGAATATTAACTTTGGACGAAGACACATATGAGAAAGAGTCAAAGAACATCTAATATTAATATTGTATTATATATGTGTTTGTGTGCACAGTTCACACACACACACAATGCAAAAATAATCATATTTAGTTTTACTAAAGTAATGTATTTTGAAATTAGCATAATCAGTTTCATGATTTAACATCACTAATTGTATGTATGCATGCATGTATATATATAATTATTTAATATATATTAAATTATATTAAGCTATTAAATTATTTTAATAAAAAAATTTATATACAGTATATATATAATTATTTAATATATATTAAATTATACTGAGCTATTAAATTATTTATTATAGAATTGTAATTCTAAATGATTTTAATTATTTAAAAAATGATATACAGTATATATATATATATATATATATATATATATATGTGTGTGTGTACTTTTAAAATAATTGCAATTCTAAAATAATTTCATTTAATAGTATAATCACTAGCTAAATTTTTACCACTAATTTTATAATAATAATAATATTCATAATTTTACTTAATAAATTATGTATTTATGTAATCATCGTAATCACTGTCCAGCAATTAACACTGTTGGCTAAACAATGATTTGTTATCATCATTAATTGTGACAATTAATAGGATTACTTTGGATCATCACCATGTATCATAAACAATGAGTGAGACGATACTACTCACATCCAATAGAGGGCGCTGCTCTCCAAGTTCAAGTTCAAAAGCAGTATTTACAATTCATCAGGAATCGACCGGACAAGGGTTTATTGTTATAACATCAAATCATCTAATGCCACCATCTTAAACACGGTCCATAACCATTTAAAATGCATATCGCTTCATGCAGTATTTATATGGAGAACGGTTAGATTGTGTTTCATTTGATTTAAGCTATCGATCGCCGTATCCACATTCTTCACGCAAGAATGCCCATCAAATCAATATAATATATGTATTGGTTTTTGAGCACAAACAGAGGGTAGCTGGACATGTAGACGACCAACAGCAAAAACATTATAAGACAACTGCGTACACGCAAGAACATATGATATATTTTCAACAGGATTAAAAATAAAAACAAATCAGAAATCAATATATCGGGTGTACGAACACAACAGGCCAGAAGGTTCTTCATCTGATCATGAGAAACATAAAACCACTCAAGCGATGCGTTGCGTTCGCGTTGCTCGCATGATCGCGTCAGATCTGATCAGCGGCTCGGAATATCTATCTATAGCGATAATACAAAATCAATAACCGTATAAACTCTCTTCTTTTAACGGATGAAAACGTATCCAGCATCCCCCTCCCGCTCCTGCGCCACGGGGAGCGCGACTCAACGCGGAAACTCCATCCCGCGTTTTCTGCCTTTTATTGAGGACGCTCTCAATAATTGTTTTCAGTAGTCCTATTCAATATCGCAGGTCGGCGTTCGTTCGATAACTCCGTTCCTCGCGCGCCCGCGCCGTTCGATCCGCTCCGCTCCGTGTTTTGCGCGCGCTCCCCCGCCTCTCTCTCTCGCGCTCTCTCTCTCTCTCTCTCTCTCGCTGAACTCCAGCCCCTCTCGCGCTCTCTCTATCAGCCTTTCATTCCGTCTCAATATGTCTCAAGATGGCGGCCAATGCGGGATCGATGTTTCAATATTGGAAACGCTTTGATTTGCAGCAGCTCCAGGTCAGCTTCCTTTCGCTTTGTACTCGCGGTGTGTGCCGGTGAGCCGGTCCCGGGGAGCGTCGCGCTGAGAGGCTGGCGCGTCGCTCTCGCGTCGGCTCTTTCGCCGGGGTCGGTGCCCATTGATTAAAGCGGCTCTCGCGCTGATCGGAAATTGATCCTCTTTGTTCAATTCCCATCGATCAAGCATCACGGTCAAGGTGGATGCGGCCACTTCGGCAACGGGAGCCCTTAGGTTTCCCGATTCTTTCCCGCTCCTTTCCATCTCCGGGATGTTTTGGGCATAGTTTTTGCCGAAGAGATTTAGATAGTATGTTTGTGGAAATAATTTTGTGTTTAGAAGTGTGTCGCGCTACACGGGTGGCGCTGTGCTGGACCGAGACGTTATTGCTTAGTAACGAGAGAGGAGTTAGCCTGCCTTCCTTTTTAGATTTCACCTCGTTTATTGTTTACTAGCACTTTTTATGTGACTTTAGAAGTTTATGAAGTTAGCAAACGCAAAGTTCAGCTTAGTATAAGTTTAGAGTGAAGACGGAATTGGCTGCTAATCCTGCGCCAGACAGGAACAATTAAACACAAAACAATAAACAAACACGAACGTTTTTTGAGGGGGGAAATATAGATGTGAGACTCTAGAAAAGACGGTTTATTTCGTTATTCAGTTACAGAGCCTGACTAAATGGCTCATTACAACAAATGAATGCCATTTCACTCTGTCTTGTTTTTTCTTCACATATAACGTTAACGTGTTTAAATCGTTCTACAGAGATATGGATCAAATGAGCGTTTAAACGCAGGTGGGAACGTAAAGATTCGGTTTGCTCTGCTGTTGTTTTGGTTTAATGTTGTGGTATTAGTTTTTAAAATTGATTAGTTGTCAAAGTCAGAAATCTTTCGTTATTTGTAGTGTTCTTGTTGGAGTATGAAGTGCATTTGTCGCGTTTGGTTAGGCTTAAACAACAGACCCATGATTATATAAATTATTGATTAAGAGTTTATGTATTTATGAACTGAGGTCGCAAAGCTTAACAACAACAACAACAAAAATCGCTGACCTATTTTCCGAACGAACTTTAAATTTCCTCTCACCAGTAACCATGTATAAATCTTCATAAGCATTCCGAGGCATTGAAAAATCGATAGCATTCGATAATAACATGAAAACGAGCTTTTTATAGATCGATTAGGTTTTCTACGTTAAAAGTGTAGAAGATTTTTCATATTTTTAATAAATGACGTTCGTGTAAAAATATTTTTTTGTCAAAGATGCTAATATAAACGTAAATTAAAGCAAAATGTAGAATACTATACATGCATGTGTTGCAGTATGCTTTGAGATGCTATTCAGCTTTTGTGTATCATTAATCTGTAATAGTCAAAACATTGCCAGACTCGTTGCATGTCAGATGTTTTGCTGTTTGATTAGGTTGTGTTCTAGGAAAATCGTTTATTCAATTAGGGTGCAGACATATAGTGTTGAACATAAAAGGACCACACACACAGCTGGGCATATTCTGATGTGGTGACTAAATTTTCAGTGCTCTCCCTCGCTCGCTCCTCTCTCTCTCTCTCTCTCTCTCTCTCTCTCTCTCTCTATCTGTCTCCCAGGCTGATAAGAACTGGCATCAGCGAGTTCAGGCTTTGATGATGTCATGGACGCTATTTATCAACTTGTTTTTTCTTTTGTGTCTTTTCTATTCAAATCTTATTTTTCAGAATGTTTTAAATTAGTTCATTTCTTGTTTTGTTCTGATTAACTCCACTGATTTATGCTTAATTGATCCCTCGATGTGAATCAGATGTCTCATATTACCCTGCAAAAACCACACCAGACAGTGGAATAAAGTCATCTTAATTATAATTTCCCTGTGACTCCAAACAGACCTTTTCGTCTCAAATGTCCCCAGCTTTTTGTTTGCCGGTGTCACCTGCCTCCTCCTGTCACCACATGGCTCTGAGGTCTGCGAATGCAGGTGAGGTGCAAGTGTACCTCACTTGGTGTGTGGTCCTGAGTTTTCGTGCGTCAATGTGGAGAGATTAGTGATTGACGCAGGCAGTTCTGCCACCATCAAGATGTGAGCAGAGTCTCTTGTCTGGACCTGTGTTGGGCCCCTGTGATGACTTTAAAATGTGTTTGATATCTTTAATGAGGGGCACATGGGCCGGCTGCAGTACACTGTGTACCTAAACACCATACGAGCATAATCTGTTGCGTTTTCGGTTTCTCTGTGTGGTTACTGTATGAATGGTGCTGCTATATCTTTGAGATCTTCTACTGTACGCCTGTGAAGAGTTTTAGCAGATTAGGCTGCCAGACGTTATACTCATAGTTGGATGTGCCGTCATCCACTTTTCTTACTCTAATAGATAATTAACATAACTTGTAATCTTGGTTAATAATTTATTGGACGAGAACAGGGATGATGCGTGATATTTGCATTTGAATATTTTTAAGGAGATTCATCACTTGCAGATGGAGTGTTTTCATTAAACATCACTTAATGAATCGAGCTCGGAGCACCTGTATTTTGACTGTTTTAATAATAACTGTCTGACTGACACCTGATTGGATTCGAAAGAATGGGGAAAGTCCCTAAAAAGTGAGCAGGAATGTCTCCATGTGTCTGTGAAAATGCGGGAAAACTACTTTTAGGCATGGTTTTAAAGCTGACATGAAAGATGAATAGAACAACAGCGTCTCTGTGGAGCCCACCCCACACATTCACACAGACTCAGATCCTGACCACTTCAAAACCAAGCCAACTATATATGAGGCCCCAAAACAACACACATATTTGCATGTGGTCACTCCAAATTTAGCCTCAAAGTAAAGCACTTCAATTGACTCTTGTATTTGTCTAATTTCACAATTTAGACTGATAATAAATTCTGCGAGGCCCTTAGATTTTTATTTATTTTTAAGATTTTATTTGGCCGTTTTATGCCTTTATTTCGATAGGACATTATAGTGACAGGAAGTGAAGTCACAGTGGGGGTCAGAAAGGGGGGGGGTTCCCGAAGCACAACGGCGCTACATGTCGCCGCACTGCCTTTGATTGTTTTAGTAGCTTTTTCACATTCATAAAGAATATAGTGAAGCACTTAAATTGACTCTTGTATTTTTATTATTTCACAGTTTAGACAGATAATAAATTATGCAACAAAAAAACATTTTTGGATATGTAATAATACATAATTTAAGGAACAATTATCACTATTAAAGGGTTACTCCCCCACCCAAAATGAAAATTTTGTCATTAATCACTTACCCCCAAGCTTCATTCGTCTTCGGAACACAATTTAAGATAATTTGGATGAAAACCGGGAGGCTTGTGACTGTCCCATTCACTGCCAAGTAAATCACACTGTCGAGGTCCAGAAAAGTATTTAAGACATCGTCAGAATAGTCCATCTGCCATCAGTGGTTCAACCGTAACGTTATGAAGCGACGAGAATACTTTTTGTATGCGAAGAAAACAAAAATAACGACTTTATTCGACAATTTGTCTCCTCTGTGTCCGCATCACCGTAGTGCCATTTTGGAGATTATGCACTGAATGCAAGCAGCGTACTCTCTTCTGTATCAGCCGCACTGCACGGATGCGCTGTTTTCGTTCAAATCAAAGCGTAAATACACGTAGAAAATGTATCCTTGTGTCGCGGCTGACACAGAAGAGCGTGTCAGCTTGCGTTCAGCGCAAAATCTCCGAAATGGCGCTACGGTGATGTGGAGAGAGACAAAGGAGACAAATTGTCGAATAAAGTCGTTATTTTTGTTTTCTTCGCATACAAAAAGTATTCTCGTCACTTCATAACGTTACGGTTGAACCACTGATGGCAGATGGACTATTCTGACGATGTCTTAAATACTTTTCTTGTAATTTACTTGGCAGTGAATGGGACAGTCACAAGCCTCCCGGTTTTCATCCAAAATATCTTCAATTGTGTTCCGAAGACGAACAAAGCTTTTACGGGTTTGGAACGACATTTTCATTTTGGGGTGGAGTATCCCTTTAAGTAGCATGCATATTACTAACATGTTGGCTGTTTATTAGTACTTATAAAGCATTTATTAATGCCTTATTTAGCATGACCGTGTTTTAGATCTCGTAATCTTACCCCATACCTAAACTTAACAGCTACCTTACTAAATATTAATAAACTGCAAATTGGGAGTTTATTGAGGCAAAAGTCATAGTTAATAGTGAGAACTGGACCTTAAATAAAGTGTGACCATTATTTGCTCTATATTTCATGACATTTTTTTGTGATTTGTGTACATTAATAGCCTTTTCATATTTGTAAAAACATGAAGAATGTTAGATATGCAGCATAAAGTCCATCTGTGGTGGTTTACTTTACCGTTTCCTTTGCTGCTTGTGACAGGAAAGTAATTTGTCCGAATTATACAGAATTTTTTTTGTTGTGAATTGTATACATTAATAGCATTTTCATCTTTGGAAAGGCATTAACACTATAATAAAGCAGTTCAGTTGACTGTTAATCAATTTTGCGAGACCCTTTGAGTGTCTTAATATGCACTTTTGAGAAAACATTTTCATATATATTATTTGGTCTAAATTTGATCGAATTGTACAGAAAAAAAGCCTTTTTGTGTGAATCGTGTACACTAATAGCCCTTTCATATTTGTAAAGACATGACAAATATTACACATATAAGATCCAACTAGTGGTTTCTCAGTACAGTTTCCTTTCCTGTGTGTGACAGGAGATTTAGTCTGTTGCCTTGCTTTGGTTATTAAAAAGTAGCGGTGCTTGTCACTGAAAAGAATAGGTTAGCAGCACTTTCAGATCTGGTACTTGAGCACATTTGTTCTACTACCAGTTCAGCCCAGACGTCGATAATCCCACAGTATTTGAATTACCTGTTCTGGGAGGTGCTGTGATCTAAAATAAGTGTTTTTTTTCTCTGTGTAGTTGTCTGCCGTCTCATGTGATCAGGCTGGCAATGGTGGCCTGAGTATAGCTCCTTTAAAGGGGGA